TGGGAGGGCAAGAGGTGATGATTCCCCCCCACCCTGCAGCTCAGCCGCGGCGAGGGAGCTCTCTGCTCTCTGCTTCCTCTCGCCGCGCGCTGATGCCGGGAGCCGGAATATGACGTCATATTCCGGCTCCCAGCTACAGCAGACAGCCCGCGCGGCGAGAGGAAGGAGAGAGCAGAGAGCTCCCTCGCCGCGGCTGAGCTGGAGAAAGGCGCCTGCCCCCACTGGACCCCAGGGAACAAGTCCACCAGCACTCCAGGTAGGAGGCTGGGTGGACATTTAAAAAAAAAAAATTAAATATAATAATTTGTGTGTGTATGTGTGTGTGTGTGTCAGTGTGTGTGTGAGTATGTGTCAGTGTGTGTGTGTGTGTGTGGGTGTGTGTCAGTGAGTGTGTGAGTATGTGTAGTGTGTGTGTGTGTCTGTGTCAGTGTGTGTGTGTGTCTGTGAGTGTGTGTGTGTGTGTGTCTGTGAGTGTGTGAGTGTGTGTCAGTGAGTGTGTGAGTATGTATGTGTCTGAGTGTGTGTGTCAGTGAGTGTGTGTATGTGTCAGTGTGTGTGTGTCAGTGTGTGTCTGTGAGTGTGTGTCTGTGAGTGTGTGTGTGAGTATGTGTCTGTGAGTGTGTGTGTCAGTGTGTGTCTGTGAGTGTGTGTGTGTGAGTGTGTGTCTGTGATTGTGTGTAAATGTGTGAGTATGTGTCTGTGAGTGTGTGTGTCAGTGAGTGTGTGAGTATGTGTCAGTGTGTGTCTGTGAGTGTGTGAGTGTGTGTCTGTGAGTGTGTGTCAGTGTGAGTGTGTGAGTATGTGTCTGTGAGTGTGTGTGTCAGTGAGTGTGTGAGTATGTGTCAGTGTGTGTGTGTCAGTGAGTGTGTGTGTGTGTGTGTGTGTGTCAGTGTGTGTCTGTAAGTTTGTGAGTATGTGTGTGTGAGTGTGTCTGTGAGTGTGTGTGTCTGTGAATATATATATGTATATATATATATGTGTATATATATATATATATATATACACACACACACGCGGCGTATGTTTGTGCTTTAGGGTGCACACCCTAATGCAATAGGCTGCGCACGCCTATGGTGCCAGGAATACAGCTTTGTATTCCTGGCACTATAGTATCCCTTTAATATATGTTCTTCTGCAAATTAAATCAATAGTGGCATACTATTATAGTTATAATTATACATATGTTCTGTTGAATAACAGGAACATAAAAGGTTAATTTCACCAATGGTAACACTTCTTATTCATTACATTTCCTGCTGTATGCTTGTCTCCCTGGGTAGTTCAATTAACATATTATGAAGTATGCATTTATTTTCTCTCCCACACTTCAGTTTATTAGTATGAGTAACATACAGATTTTGTATCTGATCAGGGTTTATCAGCACTTACTAAATGAACTGGAAGAATTATTTATGTATGGAGTGCTTAATGATTAGAATCTAAAGAAATGGATTTTGTAAAAGTCATTATGGTCTGTCCATGTTAAAGGACCACTATGGGCACCCAGACCACTTCAGCTTAATGAGGTGGTCTGGGTGCCTGGTCCAGCTAGGTTTAACCCTTTTTTCTATAAACTTAGCAGTTTCAGAGAAACTGCTATGTTTATAAATGGGTTAATACAACCTCTAGTGGCTGTCTCATTGACAGCCGCTAGAGGGCTTCCGCGCTTCTCACTGTGATTTTCACAGTGAGAAGACGCCAGCGTCCATAGGAAAGCATTGTGAATGCTTTCCTATGGACTGGCTGAATGCGCGCGTGGCTCTTGCTGCCATGTGCATTCAGCCGAAGAGGAGGAGGAGAGCTCCCCGTCCGGCGCTGGAGAAAGAGTTAAGTTTAACCATTTCCTCCCCCAGAGCCCGGCGGGAGGGGGACCCTGAGGGTGGGGGCACCCTCAGGGCACTATAGTGCCAGAAAAACAAGTATGTTTTCCTGTCACTATAGTGGTCCTTTAATGTTTCTCAGTCTAACATTAAAAACGTAATCATACCAATGCTTGGCGTAATAGTTACACATTTGTTCTCCCATAATCAACAATAGTAAGAAAATAATAAATGTTTTAGCAATATTCAAATTTCAAAGATTTAAGAGTATTTATAAAGCAACATTCTGCATTTCTTAGAAATGTATACACATACTGTTTAAGGATATATTTAGTAAGAAATGAGATATATATATATATATATATATATATATATATATATATATATATAAAATCTTAGACAACTTTGGTCTTATATGCCCACTTAGGCAAATTAGACAAAACAAGACCCTAATTTAGATAAAAAATAAACAAACAAATTAATAAATAACTATATCATAATAAAAGTGAAAGGGATTTAAAAAGTCAGTGAATGATTAAAAAGCTTAGAAAAGCTATGACAAGGAATGGGGTGGTTTAACCTCCTATAACGAAAGATGTGGACTATTACAAAGGAGTGACAAAGTTAAAATAACAAGATACCGGAATGCTAATCAAAGCAACAGATTCCTAGAATAATAAATGACCTAAAACTGGATCACAATACCATCTATGCTCTATAACAGGGCTCAGCAACCCATGGCACATGTGCAATCCATGACACTCAAGGCTGCCAGAGCTAAATGGGATCTGGCCTATCAGGAGTCCCAGTGGAACTTCAGATATCTGAGCTGTGATTGAAGGTGGTGAAGGACAATCTTAAATGTACGCATTGCAGTACTTAGAGAAAGTGACCCAGCACCTGTGAACAGGAATCTGCACTGGAGTAGAGCAGCCCACAGCAGCTATTGTGGCTTCTGCCCTTAACCTGTACCTGGCCAGCCCCTATCATTGGACCCCAGGGAAACAACCAATACTGCTAGTTATACAAAGAGCTGCAATAAGCCTCCTCTCATACAATAATACAAATAGCCCACACACAAACACAGTCCCCACAAACACAACACCACTGACAATCCACAAATGTGCACACAACCCCACAAGCAGCCTTTCACATATACATACCAAACACACAATGTCATATCATCGAGACATGCAATTCCACAATCAGCCCCCCCATACACAGCCCACATCATACGCAATAGCACAAACTGAACATTTATAATATAACAGCTCACATGCACACAAATACAACGCTATCAGGCAACTACTGCTCCCATAAATAACTAAAGCAAAATATGGTAACTAGTAATGTCCCGAACGGTTCGCCGCAAACGGTTCGCCACGGACTCATCATTGAGTAAACTTTGACCCTGTACCTCACAGTCAGCAGACACATTCCAGCCAATCAGCAGCAGACCCTCCCTCCAGACCCTCCCACCTCCTGGACAGCTCACTAAGAATGCAGCTTCAAAATGGATGCTGTCCAGGAGGTGGGAGGGTCTGGGAGGGAGGGTCTGCTGCTGATTGGCTGGAATGTGTCTGCTGACTGTGAGGTACAGGGTCAAAGTTTACTCAATGATGAGTCCGTGGCGAACCGTTTGTGGCGAACCGTTCGCGAACCGTTTGGCGAACCGTTCGGGACATCACTAATGGTAACATATGGCAACAAGAAAAAAATATTACAGGCACGCCAAGGGACTTTAAGATTTTGTTTTGGCACAGTACTACTGAAATGTTGCCTACCCCTGTGCTATAACAATTTGCCATTATCCACCTACAGTTTCCTTGTGGACCAAATCGCAACCATTTAAACATTATAACATAAAAATGTTAGAAAATAGGAGACAGCCTCACTGGCAATATCCAATACGAAATTGACAAAAGTATAATTGTGTATAATTGAATCCTAACCAAAGAACTCCTACTGTAGTCAAATAGAAGGAGGGGAAAATTAGAAGAGCGAGAGAGAGAGAGAAATTGCAGCTGCTGAAAATACCTCCCCAAAATCGTTATACTAATCCAAACCAAGGAAAAGGAGTGGGATGGGGAGTTTATCATATTATGAGTAACTCAATCTACCTCATAGACTAATAAACAGTGTAGTGTAGTCTGGGTAAGACAGACACCTCCAATAATCCTGATGCGTGTTTTGGCGCTATTGTTGCACCTTTGTCTGGGGCTCAGAGCAGGCTGTGGGTAGAAGGGAATGCAAGACAGAAGTGGCTGTCTTACAAGCAGAGTGTGCAGACGCTAAATGTAGGTCTTGCACACACTGCAGGACCTACATTTAGCAGGATTGAAATAGGAAGCACCTCTAGTGGCCATCTGAGTGACTGCATCTAGAGGTGTTACTAGACAGCAATGTAAGCAAAAAGCAGTGTTTACATTACTAAGCCTACAGGGACAGGCTATATACACCAGAACCACTACATTAAGCTGTAGTGGTTCTAGTGACTATGGTGTCCCTTTAAGGTTTTTAGTATTTAAAGTGAATGTTGCATGACATATATACATAGTTACATAGCTGAAAAGAGACTTGCGTCCATCAAGTTCAGCCTACCTCACATTTGTTTTTTGCTGTTGATCCAAAAGAAGGCAAAAAAAAAACAATTTGAAGCACAATTTTGCAACAAGCTAGGAAAAAATTCCTTCTTGACCCCAGAATGGCAGTCAGATTTATCCTTGGATCAAGCAGTTATTACCCTACATTGAAAGATTATATCCTTGAATATTCTGTTCTTGCAAGTATGCATCTAGTAGCCGTTTGAACATCTGTATGGACTCTGATAAAACCACTTCTTCAGGCAGAGAATTCCACATCCTGATTGTTCTTACAGTAAAAAAACCTTTCCTTTGCCTTAGACGAAATCTTCTTTCTTCCAGTCTAAACGCATGGCCTCGTGTCCTATGTAAAGTCCGGTTTGTGAATAGATTTCCACACAATGGTTTGTATTGGCCCCGAATATATTTGTATAATGTTATCATATCCCCTCTCAGGCGACGTTTTTCTAAGCTAAATAGGTTTAAATTTGTTAACCTTTCTTCATAGCCGATATGTTCCATTCCTTTTATTAATTTTGTAGCCCGCCTCTGCACTTTTTCTAGTGCCATAATATCCTTCTTTAGAACAGGTGCCCAAAATTGCACAGCATATTCAATATGTGGTCTTACCAGTGATTTATAAAGAGGCAAAATTATATTCTCGTCCCGAGAATGAATGCCCTTTTTCATGCATGACAATACCTTACTGGCCTTGGCCACTGCTGATTGACATTGCACATTGTTGCATAGTTTGTTGTCTATAACAATTCCCAAGTCCTTTTCATGTGTTGTTATCCCTAATTCGCTTCCATTAAGGGTATTGCTTGTGTATTCTTTACGCCGAAGTGCATAACTTTGCATTTTTCAACATTACATTTCATCTGCCATTTGACTGCCCAGTCCCCCAATCTATCTAAATCCCTCTACAGCAAAGTAATATCTTGCTCACATTGTATTGTTTTACAAAGTTTGGTGTCATCTGCAAACACTGAAACATGACTTTCAATGCGGTCTTCAAGATCATTTATAAACATGTTAAATAGAAGGGGTCCCAGAACAGACCCCTGAGGGACACCACTTGCCACCTCTGTCCAGCTTGAAAATTTACCATTAATGACAACTCTTTGTACTCTGTTTTTAAGCCAATGTTCTACCCAAGAACAAGCATTTTCATCTAGACCGATTTCCTTGAGTTTGAACACTAATCTATTGTGTGGAACTGTATCAAATGCCTTGGCAAAATCCAAATAGATCACATCCACTGCAACACCCTGATCTATACTTCTACTTACTTCTTCGTAGAACGCAATCAAGTTAGTTTGACATGACCTGTGCTTCATAAAACCGTGCTGATTTTTGCTGATAACCATGTTCTTCTCAAGGAATTCTTGAATATTATCCCTTAATAACCTTTCAAATATTTTACCAGCCACAGAAGTTAAGCTCACAGGTCTATAATTTCCAGGCAAGGATTTTGAACCCTTTTTGAATATAGGAACCACATCTGCCTTCTTCCAATCCTCCGGAACGTTTGCAGTTTTCTAACCATCTGACTCATATTGTACAATTAAGTGTTTCTTCTCTTAATTCAGTTAACAGCTCATATTTTAAATTATTTCCATTACACCTGTTTCCTGCTAAGACCTCTAATCATGTTATCAGTGAGTGTTACATTTGCTAATAGCACATATATCCTACTCCTGTTTGAGACGCACGTGCGTTGCTTCCGATAACAGTTTAAAAGTCCCCCAACACGTTATGCTGGCTTTGTGTAAATTAAACTTGTCTGTTCTCTCTCTCCATTTTTCAACTGCCTTTTCAAAGCTACTGCAATAAATAATTCTGGCTGTTTCTCTCCTCTCTACTGTGCTGCTGCTGGTGCTCTCTGACACCGTTTTTGAAGAGTTGTTTTGTAAAATACACACTCTCCTATGTTTTCTGTAGTTCTCTAAAATTCATATGTTTGAAATCAGAGATGCAGTAGCTGAGCTGTCCCTGCGCCTCATGCAAGGCATTTCCTGTGTGAGAGGTTGTTAGTGGGCAGATGGGAAGTGAGCCTTTCCACTTCCTGTCCATCCTCACTCACAGACACTGGAGGAGCTGGGATGGCACTGAGTTTAAACTCTCTGTAGTTTTCTCTGCTGCTCTGCAGGAGACACAGTTCAATGCTCTTGGTTCTCATATTTCCCATCAGCCAATTGGGCTCCAAAAAGGCATAGAATAAATCAGAGGCCCCCTACAGGACAGGGACTGAGGGCAGGTGCTTCCTCTGCCTAATGCAAAATCTGTAGCTAACATCAGCAAAGATTTGTTGTCACTGTTTCATTCATCATTTCCATGCAAAATTTTATTTTCATCTAAATGCGAAGTACTTAGTCATAAGCTTGGTAATATACTGCATCGCCGTAGTCACCACTTTTTATTTGTGTTAGTAATTTTGAGAAAAGTTCTGGTTGAAAGCCCCCATCCCAGAAGAATCAAATTACTGGTATAAATGTAAATTTGGGATTGGACTATAACTTTTATACTGACAGAATACATAAGCATTGCAATTCATACTTGGGGGTAAATGTCAATAGCTCATTTCCTATTTTATGGCTTTAACAGTGGTTGCACAAGTATAGCCCAAGCCTTTAAAGCCGGAAATTAGAATTGATTTCTAGGTCTCCAGGTTATGCATTGCAATATATTATTTAATTTTAATAAAATGCCAGTGGGCCATGCTGTAGAATACATTGCTGAGTAAAGAAGCCACAGCTATAATAGCTTATCTTATCATTGTTCTATGAAGATTGATTATGATGCAAAGTTTCCATACATGCGCTGCTGTATGATTGCTTTTTGTTGAAATGTTTGTGTCTAATTGAACTAGTTTTGCTGTTTTAAGATGATACTGATGTCATGCTAGCTGATAGTGGGTTTGTGTAGCTATTCTCATGCTAGATTGCCAGAAGGACTTATGTTAATGTATTATTTTTCTTTTTAATAAGCATTTAAAGGAAAACTCTCCAAGCACCATAATCGTTTAATCACGAACACCCACTGTGGTGGTTATGGTGCCAGGAGTGCCCTGGTATCCCCATTGTAAAGAGACAAGCCATTTCAGAACCTTTTGAGTTCTTACCTGGGGCTCAATGGACACTGCTCTCTACCTTCTCTAGTTCCTTTGGAAACTTGGAAGCTCTCCTTTGCAGGAACTTCTAGCTCTCCATAGGATATAGTAGAGGTAGAGAGCAGGACCTGGCAGACCCCACATTCTAATACAGTTTGTCTCCTTACAATGGGGTACACAAGGTAACTCCTAGCACCTCAACTGCTATAGCACAAAACTGAATGAAATAAAAAACAAGGAACACTCTAGTGTAGAGAATTCCAACATGTATGCCTGACACCATAGTGCTGGAATTCAGAATTAGATCCCTGACCCTCTCTCTCTGTGGAGATTAAAGGTGCCGCTCTGCCTCCGTGGCAGAGATAATCAGTTTTGCTGATTTCAGCCAATCCCATGCTTTCCCTTAGGAAAGCATTAGGAGGCTATTGCTCATGCACGGCAAAACACTGTGCTGTTCAACATCTCCTTATAGAGAAGCATTGAATCAATCACGTTGTGCAGCACTGACCCAGGAAGGAGCTCTAGTGGCTGCCTGAGTGACTGCCACTAGAGGTGTAACTATCCAGCAATGTAAACACTGCCTTTTCTTTGAAAAGGCAGCATTTACATTAAAAAGCCTGCATTAAGCTGTAGTGGTTCTGGTATGTATAGTGCCCCTTTAACTCATATCTAAGACACATTAGTGGGTGGTAGGTAATTAGGTTGTCATTTGCAGACATTTATGCACTTGTATATTTATTTAATTGTTTGTGTATATTTTATCAAACAATATCAAGATAGTCCAAATTCTGCTATGTTAATAACTCATATGACAGCTAAGCACTTGGTTTTGAGTACATAGACTGAGTGCATGTGCATTATTACAATTATTGTTTCTTAACACATAACTTTTCTAGGACGCGCCAAGTAACTTACCTTGATCTTTATATTTCACATTGGTATTACGAATCCTCATCTTCAACCTTTTTTGTATTCTTGTAACTGTAGGCATTAATGATAACTTAATTTCTGAGTCAAATGTTAAACGAACACTCCAAGCACCATAACCACTAAAGCACTCTTTAAGATCAATTTATACAAACTGGGGCACTCACAAGTGAAGGTAAATTTGAGGCTTAAAGATTAACAGTACGGGGGCGGAACCGAGCTTCTGAGCTGAGCGGTCGCATCCACCGCTAGCTCCATTACAACCAGCGTTAAACTCATCATCTGAAAATACCAACCTTAGCACCCAAAACAACCATCACGGCGAAGGGGAGGGCGTCATGGGTCGCAAGACAAAGAAACAAAAAGCTGACTAGCCTCGGATGGGCTTAAATATGAGATAAATCTGGAGACAAGTGCAGGGCGCCGCCAGGCCCAAGATGGCTGCTTACCCTGACACGTTTTCTGAATTGTCGGACGACCTGTCCATCGAGGGGGAGATGGAGGAAATTCCCACAATGCGCCCATCCACGTCGGCTCCAAAAAACCTGGACACATCACCGGTGACCACTGCAGTTCTGAAAGAACTCCTGGCCGACTTGCAGAGGAATATGCTTACAGATATCAGAGCGGATTTACAAGGCCTTAAAGGTCGGATTGGGGACCTCGAAACTACCTCCACTGCCAACACGCAACAAATAGCCTCTCTCTAGAAGGCAGAACAGACGCTACAACAACAGGGCTCGAATGAGAGGCGCTTCTCAATGCTGGAAGACACCAGGCAAAAAAACAACATGGAAGTAAGGGGCATCCCATAGAATACTCCTGAAGTAGAAATACCCCAACTACTGCAGTGCCTAATAGTGGCTCTTCTCCCGCCAAAGCAGGCAAAAACAGTGGGGTTAGATGGACTCTTCAGGGTACCAAAGTCACCAAAAGCCCCTACTGATGTGCCAAGAGACCTGGTAGTTCAATTCCAACACAGCAGAGATAAAGCTGCGATAATGGCAGCAGTGCGGGGAAATACACCCTACACCTTCGAGACTATGACCCTGACTTTATACTCAGATATTTCGGAAGGCACGCTAGCATGGAGATGCACCCTACACCCATTCACCTCCATCCTTTGGAAGCATGGAATACAATATCGCTGGAACCTATCCCACACACTCAAGGTACTCAGAGACGACAACAAACACTTGGTCACAGACCTACATGAGGCAGCAGCACTACTACCAATTCTGGGACTCTCCCAGGACTCTATCCCACAACCTGGGCCACAGGCCTTCGTGAAAGTACAGCAGAGATGGAATCCAGCGACTGAATTTGTCCTGTAACAACCCTCCAAGGCCACATATGCAGCAACAACAACCTGAACGATTATATGTTTAAAGTTTAGTTTAGTTAAACCTGTTATTTTCATACTTGACTCACGCCACGTCTAGTTTAATATACGCTCAAACGCAGCTCAGCTGATACAACACACACTCCCACGCCTACTGGACACGTCTAGAAGACACTCCTCAGGGCCATCATTAGCTAGGCATACAACCACTCACCATGAGCAACAGGGCAGTTTAGGTGAAGCAAGCAAAACCGCAAAATGCAGGAGTCCCCTGACCGGTAACCATTCCTCATTAGGGACCTGGACAGCATGCCATCGGGGGACAGGGGAAGACACGACTCTCTGCCCTCGTACTGTCACACTTCCAATACTCCCAGAGGGGGGTAGACACCCGTCTTAAAGTATTATTCTTCCCCATAGATGAACATCACCCCCAATAGGCCCAACTCTCACCAT